CGCAGCCTGCACCCAGCGCCAAGAAGATCAGTGCTGCCGCTGGCTCCAGGCAGCAGCACCTGCCTGTCATCCAGCAGGCAGATGGGGGACCCACACCCCCAGGAGGACTCCGGCACAGCCCCCATAGCCCTCCCAGGGGTGCAGGCGGGCTCCCGATCTGCATGTGAGATTATAGGAGGCGGGTACTGCCATCTGGGGCCAGCAGCACCACCGGTCTTCCTGGTGCTGGTCCCAACTGGCAACACCCACCTCCTCTCATCTGGCAGGCAGATTGGGGGCTTGCCCGCATCCCCAGGAGGGCTGCAGGGGCTGTGCCGGAGTCCTCCCGGGGCTGCGGGCCCCTGATCTGCCTACCAGATGACAGACCAGCACTGGGCTCAGCCTGCATCCAGTGCCAGGAATTTCAGTGCTGCTGCTGGCCCCAGGCAGCAGCACCTGCCTCCTCTCATCCAGCAGGCAGATTGGGCAGAACATGCTGTGTTCCTTCTAACCCACCATCTTCCAGAGCAGGATTGTAAAATGGATATGAGAGGAGTTGGGATAGAAGTCCAACAACTCGATACCTGGGCTTGGAGTGGAGTCAGAGAAATGCAGGTAGTAATCACCAGTCCTAATAATATGCTCCCTTCCCCAAAGGTATACACTTCCAGAGGGCAATTCCAGGGCATTTGGACTTGCCTGAGGTACAGTGTATCTTCAGCGCTCCTCCACAGGCCACACAGTTCCACGCCATTTGACTCTGGGACAAGGGAGCCAACTCTCACAATCTGGACCATGATTGTGATGTGCAGTATAAATACAAGCTCACTATAAACATTTTTTAGCAATAATGGTCTCTAGTGAGGGAATTTAGCAGTAGAACATATACTTTCCCTCTTTTTCTGCCCTGTATTGCATCCACAGCCCTTGTGCTGTTGTTGGCATTTCATGCATTTTTAGAACTTCTGAACCTTAACTGGTTTGTGAGGTAGTTGGAGAGTGGCAAAATGCAGCCTTTTCACACTTCCGTATAGGTTGCAAGCACTGCCTGAGTCTCCCCATCTCTGAGCATGCACCAGGAAGACACTGAAACTGCTCTCTCAAAACCAGTACAGATATTGCTGTCAGTTGTACTGTTATTGCTTTGAGGTTATGGGGCTATCTCCAAACAACAATATAAGAGTTTATGTTTCTGATATCTGTAGTATATTGCAAATTCATATAGATGTCAGGTTTGCTATGTCATGTAGGCCTGGCAGGAAATACATGCCTGAACGCTAGTTCAAGGCATTTCCCATCATTACTAGATGCACCAGACATACAAGGGACATAGTTTGTTTAGCACATGGAAAGATGAATATTTTTCTGGGGGTTTAGTGGAATATAGCTGGTAAAATGCAGTGATGTGCTGTGCACTGTTGAACAAGGGGCATTGATAAACTCTGTGCAGCGGTAGTGTGGGTATTCCAACTCAGAAAGATGAGGCTCTTCCTTAGCTCTCCTGTTTAAACACACTGCCATTTAAACACACTGTTGACCACCCCATCCTCATTAAAAAACTGGGCGACTGTGGCATTGATGCCTGCACAGTCAGATGGATTGCAAATTGGCTGAAGGGTTGTACTCAGAGGGTGGTGGTGGACAGGTCATATTCGACCTGGGGGAAGTGGGCAGCGAAGTCCCCCAGGGCTCGGTCCTTGGGCCCGCACTGTTCAATTTCTTTATCAGCGATTTGGATGACGGGGTGAAAAGCAACGTGTTCAGATTTGCTGATGATACGAAAATTTGGGGTGAGGTGGGCATGCTAGTAGGGAGGGAAAGACTGCAGCAAGAACTGGATAGGTTGCAGGGGTGGGCTAACAAAAACAGGATGAGTTTCAATACTGACAAGTGCAGGGTGCTGCACTTGGGCAGTAGTAACCAGCAGCACACTTATAAGATGGGAAACTCCCTTCTTGAGAGCATGGAGGCAGAAAGGGATCTTGGAGTCATTATTGACTCCAAGATGAACATGGGCCGACAATGAGAGGTCACGGTCCGCAGGGCCAACCCGACCCTATCGTGCATCCATAGGTGCATCTCAAGTAGGGCCAAGGAGGTGATCCTCCCCCTCTACGTGACACTGGTCAGGCCACAGCTGGAGTACTGTGTCCAGTTCTGGGCACGTTCAGCCTTCACAAGAGAAGGCTGAGGGGGGACCTGGTGACCATCTATAAACTCACTAGGGGGGACCAGAAGGGTTTGGGGGAGACCTTGTTTCCCCTAACACCCCCTGGGATAACAAGGAATAACGGCCACAAGTTGTTGGAGAGTAGGTTTAGATTAGACATCCGTAAGAACTACTTCACAGTTCAGGCGGCTAGGATCTGGAACCAACTTCCAAGGGAGGTGGTGCTGGTTCCTACCCTGGGGTCTTTAAGAAAAGGCTCGATGCCTACCTGGCTGGGGTCATTTGAGCCCTGTTTTCCTCCTGCCCAGGCAGGGGGTCGGACTTGAAGATCTACAAGGTCCCTTCCGACCCTACTTCTATGATTCTATGATTCTACCCGAGGAAGGAGGTAATCTCACAGGGCAAGAGGGCTTCAAACTGGAAGATGTTTATAACCTCAACTGTGTTTTGCAGAGTTCTTTGGATAACTTTGCATATATACCTTGTCCAGACAAACATAATTGAGTACAGAGAGGTGTATCGGGGCAGAGGGTGGGGTATAATGTTGAGCACTGGAGAGCAAGGGTAGGGAGCAGAGTCTTACAGCACAAACTCATCACATTCTGGCTGCAGCAGCATGAGCTGATGCTGTAGCTGTAGAAGGGGCTCTCTGCACACTGGCTGCAGCAACCCCTGTAACCTGGGCTTCCCGGGGACTGCCATTCTGGCAGCCATCTAAACTGGTGCCCCACTTTCTCACACCTAGTCATGCTTCTGTGAGTACATGAGATTGTAGCAGCCTCTCTCATTTGAAAAATGTAAGGGAAGATTGAAAAGGTTTTGAGACAGGTTGGATGTATCCTGGGAATATTTTAAAATACTTGACACTCCATTCAATCTGTTTGCCCATCAAAAGGAACTTTTATGAGCCCCAGGGATGAGCCATCTCTGGCTTTAACCATATGCAGCGATACAGATGAACCTCATTACAGGAAGAATAATCATTTCCAACCTCCCCAGAGTGTGATGATGGAGTTCTAACAAGAGGCTTCTCAGTCACACTCTGCGCCCACATGCTGTTCAGAACTGGACTGGATCAGCTCCTCAGTTTTTATATCTAAAATAAGCTACACTGGGGTCAGTGAAGGTTTGCTGACTTAAACCCACAGAGAATTTAGCCCTCTTATACAAATTGGCTTCTTGTTCCCCCTATACTCTTTCTTCCTCCACCCCCCAGTTAAATTTATGTTGGCTATTTTATTGAAATACTTTAACAGGGAGGGCCTTGCTATTCTTGTGGGAGAGTTTGGGGGTATTAGAGCAGTGAAGTCTCAGGTAGCTGTATTTTAAAATTATAAAAAGGATACAAGTGTAACAAGTCTTTTGTAATGGTTTATAGTGTTAATAGAAATAAGTTGTTCTGAGAACACTCCTGAATCCTAACAAACTTACAAAGGCAAAATGTGTGGCAAATATGAAGAAGGGACAAAAGTAATGCTGTTCCATCATTTATGCCATGCCCTAGATAGATACTGAAGGCAGGTCATAGGATAGTATGGCCAAACTTAGGGCACGGACACCAATTATCCTTTCCACTGGGCCATCAACCCACCTAGGAAGGGAAGAAGTGGCTATATCCAATATACCCATTTATACCACTCCCACTTTTGCTGAACTGTTGCACACAGTTCCTTAGATAGCCTTGGAAGCATACCTTGCCCTGATCTCCAGAATCCAGTCATGACTTCTCTAATATGCTCTGTCTGTAGAAGACATCCTATGCAGCTGATGGGAATGATGTGTTCCAGTTTGGTGTCCTGAGCATTCTGACAAAGAGAGCATCAGAGCATAATTAGTGCCTCACTGGGTCAGACCAGTGGTCCACCAAGCCCAGTGTCCTGTCTCTGACAGTGGCAGGAGTGGACACTTTAGAGCAGAGGTCAACAATATACAGGCCAGATCTAGAGCAAGGAGCTGGAAGGACTTGCCCATGCCCTCACCAGGGCTGTATAGCGAGGAACTGCTCTGAGGCTGGGCCCATGCCACCACTGCTTTCCCTTACCTTGCACTATCCTCCCTAAGGTTGTGGCACGGACACAGCTTTCAGCTGCACCTGTGCCATAGTGGAGTGGTGGGTGGGGGGAGGGGTGGTGGCAGCAGCATGGATACAGCTTTCAGATGCCTGTTCCCAGCACATCTCCCCACCCACTGGAAGTTGCACTTGTACCACATTCAGGAAACAGGGAGCTGAGGGAAGTGGCAGCAGTGCAGGTGCAGCTTCCGCCTCTCTGGCCCCAGCGCACATGCAGGAGAGACCTCCCGCCACTGACACATCAGCCAAACTACCTGGCCTACATTGGACCAGAGACAGGTTGTCCCAGCCCATGACTGGTAAAGCTTTCTGGTTACTGCTTTAGCGGGAGAGTATTGCAATGGCTATATCTGGAGTAGTGATTCTAAAGGAGGGTGCTGTGGCATATGAGGAGATAAGCAGATAAGTGCAGACTCGGGCTGTCCCTGCTTAGCTGCTCCTCCACCCCCACTGCCCAGTCTCTTTGCAAGGAGGTAAGCACTGTAATAAATTAGTTTTTGAAATAGGGCACCAATAAATTCATAAACGTTATGGAGGGGTTTGAGTCTACAGAGGTTTTCAACTACTTACCCAGAAAGCTCTATCCCCTATTCATTACCCACCCTGGCATCCATCATCATTGGTTCAGAGATGCCAGAGGCTACACCTCTGCCTGTTCATCCATTACTTTGTCCAGTTAGTGCATCTTCCCAGGTTGGTTACTTGAAGCATGCTCTCTATTGATCTCTAGACTGATGGCTAGGATTACTAATCAGTAATTGTTTCCATCCTCCTTGTCAGGAAATACGGTGCCAGCCGTTTTTGCCATCCCAGCAGCAAACCGACCTGGGTTCACAGGTTATTTTATCCCAACCCCACCCACAGCATACAGAAACCAAGCATGGATGCCCTACGCTGGAGAGAATGAATTACCAGGGCAGTGGGCAGACTCAGTAAGTACCTTTGTTTTTTTCTGTAGTTGAATCGGAGGTGGAGTGAGAGATCAGTGTATGGGATTATTAAGAGTGACATGGGAGTTGGAGAAGAAGGCAAAATATCTTTCTTTACTATTTTGTCTTACTGGTAAGAAGCAGGACATTTCCTTGTGAATGACTTACAAGCTTTTCTATTTCTGAATCAAGCCCAGTTAACCTTGCATGTAAATAGATAAAAGGTGCTTAAAGTAAGAATGGAGTGAATGTTCAGTGAAAGTAAAACAAGTTGATTTATTAGTGTCTGTATGTGTACGCTAAGATTGTTACAGGGTTAAACCATGCCCTAGAGGAGGAGTGTCAAAGATATGCTGGCACCAGGTTTCAACCAACATGTCACATGCAGCGTGCAGGGCCCAGGACATGTGCTGCATGCCCCTTGCTGCACATGGCACCCACGCAGAGCCAGTCTAGGAACAACCGCAAGCTCCTCCCCTCCTTCATGCTGGATCCAGTGCTCTCAACACCTGCTCCAATTGGTCGAGGATGTGAGCTGCATATGGGCATTTGCTCCAGCTGGGCCAGGACATGAGCTGCACATGGTAGTCACTCTGGGTCCAGTGTTGTGTGTAGCTTGCATTCTGAACTGGCTGGAGTGGGCACCAGAACTAGCATGCAGGGCAGGTGGACCGTGCTCCCTATCTGCCCATGGAACTGGCTCTGCACTGTTCATTTAGCCTGTGGACTGGTTGTGAACCAGTTATCTGTCCCTTGGGGCCAGATGAATTTGATACCCCTTCACATATGTGTACAAACTGACTGTCATACTTAGTATGATGGTCCACAAACTAGGTAATTTAACAGCTTTGTAGTGAGAAGGACCCAGCTGTATCCCAGAATAATATAACTCAGCCCTGAAGGTGAATGTCAGTTTTTTATTACATTTGAAGCCATTGAAACCTTTGTTAGATGCCATTTTTTTTAAAGAAACACTTCAGGGAAAACAGTCTTTTTTTGTTGACATTGAAGACTTTCCCACTATCCCTTAAAGGTAACCTTTTTAAAATGCATCTTGTATGCATTTGGTTCAGTCCTGCCATTAATGTTGAAACCAACACATAGGGACGTGGCTTCTGTATTTTGTTGTGCAGCAACAGTCTTGTTTAGTGGTTTGCAGTTGCAAGGCCAGTTAGTTGGCCCTCTGAAGCCCTGCAAGAGAAGATGAGGATTCACAAGTGTTGGTGGGGTTGTCATTTTGTTGCCAAACCTTTCTCCCTGCTATTGATGCCCGAGAAGGAGAGAACACAATTTGCCTGTCAGATACGAAGTTGAGTTTGAAATGCTGTTGGGGGGGAATCTACTTTTTAATGTGTAAACTGAGCATATCTGATGTCTCTGATATTCTTCCTTGACAGAACTTTTAGTTCCTTCTTTCTGGTATGCAGACGGTAGCCTCTGTTATGAACTGGCTTCTAGAAAGTGAGGCCACTTACAGGGTACAGGAAAGAGGAGGAGGAGGAAAAAATGTAAAAAATAAAATACTCACTGTTCCACAAAGAATGTTGCCTCCTCTTAAGTGATTTTTGTGCCTGTTAGCCCCCTGCATTTGCGAAGTGTCACTAGAAAAGAGACCCATGTCTGTATGTTCAAGATCAGACTGCAAAAGTCGTGAGACTGGAGAGCTTATTTGCCTTCTAGTTCTTTATAGCTTTTAGATCACACTTAAGTTATGTTTTTAAGCTTCTCTCTACTACCAGGACTGCTAAAAACTTTATTAAAAAAAAAATGAAACAAATGAGATTCTCTACGCCCATTTTTCCAAGAGCTAGGCTTTAAGAAAAACACCAATATGCATAAAATCACAAGAGCTGGCACCAACAAATTGTATTTTAAATTCAGTTTACTATGATGCATCAAATACTTGAAGATTTACATTTTCCCTCCTCCACCAAATATATATTTGGTCCTATTAAGTTGCTGTTGAAAGAAAAAAGTAAAATAGCGGCCTCTAGTGGTTTGTTGTAGATTTTTCCTATGCATTTGCTCTGTGATCAGTTAAATTATTATCACCTAACGGGTTTTTTCTTCTTGACTTTATAATTACCACTTTCATCTAGTACTCAGGCAAGCACTAATACCAGTCAGATTTTAAATTTTATTCAGTAGATGAGTCCTTCAGAACATGAGTAAGACTGAAGGGCAGATTTTTATATGTATTTAGGCACCTGAAGATGCAGGATAGGGGTTCAGTGAGATTTTTTGAAGTATTTAAAAAGGGCAGGCATCTAAACCCAAATCCAAAAATACAGGACTTGAGCAGAATTTAGAAATCTACAAATGTCATCGTTACAAATCTCCCTTACCTGTCACTGAGCTCTGAAAGTACTTAAAGTCCATGGGCATCTCAGTTTTCAACATGAAAGGTCACTAGGCACCTGCAGTTGTGCTTCTGTATGTGCCCTGAAGCGCTGACGGCTGAACAACTTGGCACCTAGCTTATGCTAAGCCCTCTCAGGCTTCAGGATGGAGTCATTCCTCCATTAACCCCTCTGAAGTCTAGAACCTGGTATCAGGACACATGTAATGACAGGAATTTATACAATATGCAGTGATAGCTGCTGATATCTTTTAAAGCAGCATTTCTCAACCCGTGGGTTGCAACCCAAAAGTGGGTAACAAGATATATGAAAGGGTCACGAACAAACTTTAAAAACGGATTCTCCTTTAAAGGAGAAAAATGAGGGAAACTGTGGCTTTTCCCTTGCAGGCTGTCAGAGTTCCAGCCTGCAAGGGGCAGCTTGGAGCACCCTCCCCCCCCGCCCCCCCCCCCCGGGGGGGGGG